TATTTTTGTCTAGACAAATATCATGATCACATTACATTGTAATACAATTGTGATGTTAAACAAACACTATTGATCCCCGAAATCTTTGGTAATACCAATGTTCACTTTGTCTGGTTTTGTTGCAGCATACCCCAATTAAGAACTGAGAAAATATCAATGATAATCAAAAAAAATCTGTGGCTTTATATGGATAGACTTTACATGGTAAAATTATTTATATATAAATGTTATCTAGTATTTAGTAACTTTATATATTAATATGCAATTTTAATATAGGATTTGAAGTAAATATTTATGCTGTCAAATGTGAAAGGGACGAAGTCTACTTATTCAGGTTAATTGATAAGGGTATTCTTCCATCTGCCCCATATAAAAACTTTTCAATTGTTGCTTTAATTAAAATTCTGTTCAGTTTTCAGTTTCTATATATGAATATTCTGATACAAAAAAAAATTGAGGTTCAATAGGTAAAGTTTTCACTTTTTCACATTTTTGACCAATTTTTATATATATTTGTATATTTCTATATATTAAATTTCAAATTTTATTTCCAAATGTTCATTAATAATAACTAATGTAAAGGACATGTCCCTAAGTGCGAGTGCTAACTGTATATACTATTAATATATATAATAATAAATTTTCTTTTGGGAAATCAGGGTATGGCATAGCCAAATATGGTAATTAGTTACAAATAAAAAAATATTCAAAAATCGTACAACAATAATTTTTGTTAGTATCACGTGCAACCAATCAAATTCTTCCCCTTTATAGATGCATCCATCCATAAATGCACGCTCTCGTCCATTCCCAATGGGGGTGCACTTATGGAGGGTTCTTATTTATTTAAGTTTTTTTAAATAAAGTTTATCCACGTGATGACCTACAAATTTCCTATAAAGAACTCTCTCTATAACGAACTTTTATAGACCAGCCTAAAAGTTCGTTATAGAGAGAGTGTACTGTAATATTCTCCTCAATTAATTAAAATCAATCAATTAATTTATACATTTAAATCAGTAGTAACTTCCTTTTCCTCAACTTTTATTTCATCAGAATTCTGGCCTTCATTATCATCGTTACCTTTGACATCACTGCAATCCCTACCAATAGAAGGAAAAGCAGGATGACTGTAACTAGGCCTTGATTCTGGATTGTAATGGAATAAACACAGTCCTATGATGGTGCTAACAAATGACACAGGATAAAGATGATGCATCTGCAAATTATAATAATCGATTAGTGGAAGGAACTATCAAAACCAAATTCTAGTTATTATTATTATTATTTATTTACCTGGGCACCGAATAATAATAAACTAAATATTAATGAATAGAAATGAATTGTTTGTAAAGAAAGATTAAAGAATGTAGCTGATGATAATTTGAAAAGTATTGGTGCTCCAGTATAAAAAAACACCATTGAAATAGTATATGCAAGTAGCATCCCAACTAAAACATATGAAATGAGGTGGTGTGATGTGGTGTGATTTGAGAAAAAATTTTATTTTATTATCAAATTTTTGAAATTATTTAAATTGATTGATTGTTTATTTGATTACTTACCACTACTTCCATTCCATTCTACAGCAGAAAGTTCTTGGCGCTCTAAAATTAAACTAAAAAAACCACTTGAGTTTTTAATGTTATTTCAATAAATATATATATTAATTCAAATAAAAATTTGCAACTTACAATTGAATACCACTGATAATCATTCCCCAAAATCCCAATTGTCCAACCACCTCATACACCGATCTTTGTCTCACAAGTAATTCTTCTATTACATTACTCGCACCATAAAGTGTTGCACCTATGATACAAAATGCATCACCAAGTCCCATATTCACTGCTGTTAAATAGATAAAAATTTTTTTTTGTTTATAAAGGAAAAAAGTTTACAAATTATAAACCAAAAAATTTGCAGTTTTTTTTAATCTATATATAACTTACCACCACTAAAATCTTGTCCTGAGTCAAGATCTCCTGCAAGCAATACTCCAATACCAACAAGACATATCAACACTCCAAAGTATTGACTCCAATGATATCCAACCTTTAGGAATACGATTGATGATAACATACAAACTGGGATTGCCCACGTACCAAGCAACATTACGGAAAGAACTGAGGTGAAAGCATATGCCTTTACCACAAAATAATTGCCTTCAACTTCAAACAGTGCAAGCACAAAATCTATATAATAAATAAATATATATATACGTATCATCTAGTTATAATTAATTGTAGTAAAATAACAATAACAATAACAATAACAACAACAATGCTGTTGTTGTTACTACATTCATCTACACCCATCATCTTTAATCATTTACTTACATTTTAAAAATCGATAATCCTTCAGGTTAAAAATATCCAACCAATACCTAAATCCCTTTTTGTAGATGGTTAGTGGCGTATAAATCAAATTTAATGCTACATAGGTAAGAAACGTTTGAAATGTAGGAACGCTGATATTATAGTTCACAAATAATTCATTACTGGTAACCATGGTCGCCGTAATACAAAATGACAAAAATTGTCCTAACGCTATACTAATCAGAAATTTGGGTGTAAAATAACGGGAATTTATTACTCGGTTGTAAAAATTTTTGTCAGCATGATTAGTGTCGGTAGTGGTGGTGTCATTAGTAATATTACCATTATTGGTATCACTATTGAGTATGACATCTTGTTGCTCTTGTTTCGACATTCTTGCAACTTTTTTTGTGTGGTTTTTGTTCAAAATAATAAATTAGGTTTTTGAGACTATTGAAAAAGTCTCCAACTTTTATATCGTTATTTTTTATCGGACTAAGCCATTGTTAAACAGTTGAACTGTATATTGATTACAAAACAAATTGAATATTGTTTATATGCCACATTACACTCGTTACACTCTGGGCAAATTTTTTTAATGATCTCATACAAAATCTTGTATAATAGATGAAAACTTTATAACTGTAAATACATTGATGCAAAATTTAACTTCTCTATCATCATTAAACAAAATTAATAAAATGTCAATCAATTTTTTAATTAAATGAAAAACATACATACATAGATAATAATCTCATCCGAAACTTTGACATATGGGATAATATAAGTCTTGAATAAACATCTATGTCGTTTTGAAACTTTTTTAAAACAATTATCATAGTCAATTTAATCATTAATTTAATAAAAATGGTACAAAAATCAAATTTTGCGTATATATATTCATTCATAAGAGCCTAAGCTACAAGATGATGTTTTTTATTATCTAAAAGTTTGAAAAACTTTATCCATATACTTTTGGGTGTACCTACATGTGAAAATCATTTATTGTGTGTGTGCATTTCAACAAAAAAAAATTACTACAAACTCTTTTTTTCGCACTGGAGCTCGAGTTGCTCGTTACGCTGTTGGTAATTGATGTTGACGGTGATAATGACAATGATGACATTGTTTTTACTAATTAAGAAAAGGGAACACAGTAGAAAATGGCAATGCCAAAAATTCAGAATTGAATTATCTTGAATTACCATATTGCGTACTGCTCCAAGAAGCATTCTTTAAAAAAATTCAAAAGGTAAACTTAAATATTTCTAATATCCGGGTCAAAATTGAAGTATTAATTAATGAATGCATGGTGCATCAATGAATAAATGATGAATTACAATTACTGAATGAACATCATTTTTTCAAAATTAAATAGCTAATAGTTTAGCTAATAGTTTTGATGCATGTAACTTTCAATAATATTAATGCGTTTATCATTTGCCTCATATATCAGAATTTGTGTAATTTTTTATATTAATAAAGTATCAACAAAGTAGATCTTCAGGTAAAAACCATAGATTTTATTACTAATAAACAATTAAAACTCTGCCAATTGTCAAACCCCAAATGCAAAACTCTGCCAAAACTCTAATAAAAAATTAGTGTGCAACGTGCCAATTGATTTCTTTGTAGGAGTTTTGGCAAGCAACCATAATCACATTGCAGATTAAAGATAATGAGGAGGAAAGAGGAAAAATGAAGGAACAAGAGTAAAAACAAGATTAAAAAACCAATTTAATTAATATGAAGATTCCATGATCATGTTAGCATTCCAGATGAAGATATAAAGGATATTTCGATAATAAACTAAGACAAATAAATCATCTAAAATATCACAGATGAAAAAATACATGATTAAAAAAAATTGAAAACATTTACTATTCATAATGTAATTTTTATTCAAAATAAAAACTCTAATCATGTTTAAAATGTAATATACAATTAGATACAACAAATTCTATATTTATCATCAATAAATTGTTCTTCATCATCAAAGAAAAGAAAAAATTAAATTTTTTAAAATTAGATAGATCTTTGACATCATTCAACATGAATGAAGAAATTTTAAAAAACAAGCATGAGCAGACTTTTATTTAATTTATACTTTTGGATTTATCACTCCAATTATTCTACATGGATTCCATTTGATCCCTGAAATACTTAATGCAACATGTTCCATATACAGTCCACTCTCTTTATAATGGATCTTTCTATAACAGATCTTGCTCTATAATAGACTGAGAATTTGAGCCCAATTTATATGTCCCATATAAACTAATCACTATTTCTATAACATATACTCTCTATCTGACATCTCTTCCTAATACTAAGCCAAATTGTCTTCTATAGAGAGTGTGAACTGTAATTACATTGAAGCTTAAAATATAGCTCTTATCCAATTTGATCATTTGATCATTTTTCACACATATACTGAGAACATAGAAAGCAAAATATACATGTTAAAAAATGCATCTCAGAATCAAGTTCAGGTCCTCAAAATGTAAAATTGTAAGTTTTATTTTGCTTAATAATTATATTTATCTCAATAAAAAAAGTTACCACCATAATATCATCTCCAGGAAAAAAAATTTTTGTTCAATATATTGTTGTTCCTTGAAGATTGTACAATTTTTAGTATTTGTTAATTTAGTTTTACAAAAATGACAAAGTGCATAATGATTAGATTTATTGGCCTTTTCATTTAATATTACAAATATATTCAATGAAAGAATGTTTTATGGGCAGCAATTTAAAAAAATTAAACTTTAAAAATTTTTTTGTGAAATCAATGTCCAGACATGAATTGGACCAGGTTCAATTCCAGCACAGTTTATGTTGCATCAAACTATAGGTGCATTTTATGGAAAGCCTTCAACTTAGTGTTTTGATGAATTGGATATAAAAATACTGCATCAAATTCGTCTTATTGTCTTGAAAATGTTTTATTGTTCTTGAAGATAACTTAGTAATAATGATCAGTGTAATACAACAAATACATTTTGAATATATAGCAATTATGAATTAACAAGATATTTCACAATTATTTCTCATATATAAAATTAAATCTACTCAATAAGTGTGGAATTGCAGATAGTTGTGGTCCATAACGTTGTGCATTATCATACAATTCAAATAAAGGAACTGCAAGTAACTTCATGTTTCTAGGTACAGATAAAATCTCTTTTTTTTTGAAAAGGAGAAGAGTGTGAGAAAAAGGAATTGTTAATTAACAATCAATGAATTAATCGATCAATCAAAGTATTCAAGAATATAAATATAAATATACTTTTTTCTGGTAGATTAACAAAAAAAATCTTTTTTTGTTCTTTTGGCTTTGTTACATGTGCAGGTGTATACGGATACTATTGTGAAAGAAAATTTAAAGTTAAAATATAATAATTTTCTTTCTCTTTTTTCTCTCTTTTTCAAATATTACCATAAAGGTCTCAAAATTCGGTCGCCACCATACACTTAAACATTCTCCAATTTGCCAATCTTCAACGGTGGATGGATTCACTGGTTCCAAACGTTCATTCAATCTAGCTTTTAATCCTTCAATCTCATCCTCTCCAGGTTTCAAATAATCACCAGGGCTAATTTAAAAATAAAAATGATAATAATGATTTTATTATTATCCTCACACACTCTCTTACGAATTCATAAAATGCAAACGCGCATTTAGCAATAGAGAGACCTACAGTTTAAAAAAAGAATTTGCTATTTGTAACATTAATACATGAGGGTGATTATGTTCATGAACCACCAAAACTCCCTCTACCGTTCTTCGCATACCAGTGGCCTCATAGTCATTTTGTAGACGTTGTAAACGAGCTGCTACAGATGGATCTTCTTCGGGTTGTGCTTCTTTTGTACCAAAAGTATAATTAACTATATACATTAACAAAAAATACACATATGCTAATTAATTACTCCCAATTCACACGCACAGCATATATATTTGTAAGGCTTTCACAATAGATTTTTTTTTTTTTTTTTTTTTTGTAAACCTACCTAGAGGATATCTTTGGATATAAATTTTTTTTACAAGTTAACCTTTTTTTATTGATTTTTATATTGTGAAGAATTATAAGGTGAATAGAGAGCCCTATTATTATTACTTACAAGGTAACTGTAGGATTTGTTGATGACATGTTGAGATCTATATATTATATATAAGCGTTTCTAAATAAAATTTTTTTTTCAATTCTTAATCGACGATCTGTCTATGATTGGAGATGTTGATCATTTTATAATAATTTGCGGGGATTCATAATAACGTGCCCTCAAAGAGGTTTTTTATTTTCTTATAAAATGTTAAAAAAAGGCATGTATATATTCTTTGAGATGTGTTTTTATCTCGTAAAATAAAATAAAAATGAATCAAGACATAATTTTTTTGTGATGGAGAAATCATACAAAAAAAATTTTCGTTGATCACTTTCATATACTAATACATGGATTGTCAACTAAAATAATTACAGTAAAAAGCTCGGTACAGCAAATTTTATTAAAAGGATAAGATTTTCAGAAAAAAATACATGAGATTGGCTACTTACTGTATATATGAATCTAAAGAGATATATGGTGACATATATAAAAAATCAGAGAATTATAAATTTATCGAATTATTCCAACTATCGAGATTTTGTTATTACTATAAATATGAAATTATCGAATAAAATAAGTGGCACTGGTCCCTGAAAAATTATGAATTTAAGGAATTATGAATTTATCGCATATGAATTTAACGATCTTTGACTGTAATCATGCACGAATTATTATAACTAAGCGAAACTTTCGACGACAACAAAAGATCCGTAAAAAAAAGCCTTTTGCCTGTTTTGATATTTATATTAAATTTAACAATTAGTAATTATCAGCAATAATTCGGCTGAACATAAAATCTTTAAAATGGATGTTAATGTGCTCAATGTTGCACACTTTTTCCAAAGATGATGAAAAAAAGTCTAGATTTCAATAGCATATAACAACGTGAGAAGATTCAGGTCAGTTCCAGGGTATACCATTCGAAATGCTCTTTTCCACGTCTCAAAAAGTTTGTCGGAGTCACAACATACTTTATTTATAGTAATAGTAATGGTAAAAAAATTACAAAAAATATAATCGTATTGAGTCAATAATAATAATTCTCAAACAACAATTTCCCATTTATTTATGCGTTTGTATTATATAGCATAAACAAAAGAATAAACAAAGTTTTCTACTATATCTGACAGAGAAAATAAATAGATAATTAATTAATTATAATTATAATAAAGGATAAGAATATTGTAATGCCATAAATATTGTTTTCACCAGACAGAGAAGAATTAGCATTTAATTTTGACAGAGAATTTATTTTTTGCAAATTGCCAAAAAAATATATAAAAGTTTTGTAGATAAATGATTTTGAATTAGAGAACCAAGAGAATATAATGAGTGTAAAGCAACAAGATACTCTGATAAATTTGTATTTAGTCTACACTTAGAAAATCTTTTCAATACTTGGACATCTGGAAATGAGATAATTGATAGTTTTATTCAGGAATGTCAAAAGTCTTCATCTCTTCCAAGATATATTTTAGAATGGATGCCTTACGGGCAATATGAAAGTATAAAAAAGTTAACAGAAGGTGGATTCATTTCCATTTATACTGATGCTGTCAGGTGGACAAGGGAAGAATTTATGAAAAAAAAAAGTATAGTTATTTGAATCATTGATTGGAAAACCTTTTTTGATGAGGTAATTAAATTTACGTAAATTAAATTGAATTAATTATAACCTTTAAAAATGCCTTCACTACATGGATAGTTTCCTAAACTTCTATAATTAAGAACCTTTCTTTAACAAGTCACAATGTAATTATTCCTTCTTTATGGATTTAGAAAGTGATAAATACACCAGGCCAATTGATTTATTAATAATACAAATAAATGAATAACAATAATAAATATTCTAAACATAAAGTCATTTACATAATACTCATTACATCTATCATAACATGAATTAATTTGATAATAATAATAGCTTCAACTGAAATAAAATTAAATAAAATTAAATTCACTAATTTTATTAACAACCATAATTTAAGGATAACTTGCACTTTTACTCAAAAAGTTTAATCATCCCATCCCACCTTGGAAGAGGATGATTGTTCAACGATTTGGTTTGATGAATTAGTAGATTACAACTTTAGGCTTGCTATTCCTATATCCAGACACCAATATGTATCATATATATGACAAACTGGTTTTTACAATTGGTAGGCTCCCTTCGGGGATTAGGTTGTATATTCTATATCTTTGGGATATATATCTTGGCATTTTAATTTGCACATTAATATTGATAACTCATAAGATCCAAAGCCCAACACATGTGACTCTGACAGTAGATAAAATTATGTTCAAGATCTATATAGCAATGAGAAGGGCTCCTTCTTGGGGTTCGCAGGATCTTTTTTCGTTCGATTTAGTAGCTGAATATAGTAGGTTGAATTCTTTGTGACCTGAAAGAAACATATCTATGTTAGTGATAATAAATATCTTTCATGTGATACAATGTATAAATACAGTATATCGCATGATATGTAAAAAGTCATTATTATTATTTTTTTTTTTTAGCACTACTAGTCATTTTACTTGAAATAAGAAGAAGCAACTATCCAAAAATTACCACCATCATCGCTATCATCACTATATCTGATGATACCTCATTCTTATCGCATTTATCTGTTGATTCATCATCTACAATATTGAACATTTTGAATAAGAATTGGGAGATTGATAAGGCTTTGATGAACCCTTATTTGGTTCGTTGCACGCGCCATAATGTAAATAATAATAAATAATTGTAAATAGTCATCTAAAAAAAACGCAACGAATTAATCTAATAATTTAATTTATTTTATACCATGTCATATTATAAATTATTATCACCAGAAAGAAAGGAATTTGTATTTAAAATTCGCAGAGGGTATTATAATGCTTTGGTTAATTTTGATGAAGAAAGTAGAAAAGATAATTTTTTTTTATTAGTTGAAAAAAATAAGGAACTTTCCGAAAATGAAAAAAAATATTGTAAAGAATGGTTTGTTTATTATGCTGAATTAAATAATGCAAGAAATAAAACGGGCAAACCAAAAGAATGCAACAAGTGTAAATCAACAAAATATTCTGATAAGTTCTGTGAAAGTTGTATCAGTTTACAATTACAGACTCTTTTCACTACTTGGACATCTGGAAATGGCATAGTTGATCATTTTATTCAAAAATGTCAAATGAAATCATCTTTGCCAAACAATATTTTAGAATGGATACCTTTTGAGCAATTTAAATGTATTACAAAATTAACTGAAGGCGGATTTAGTTCAATTTATACTGCTACATGGACAAGAGGAATGATTAATGATTATGATGAAGATAAAAAGGAATTTAGTTATTTTGGAGAGAAAATGATAGTATTAAAAAGTTTAAATAACTCAAGTAATCCAGGAAAAGCCTTTTTTGATGAGGTTTGTGTTGTTATTTAAAACAAAAATAAATAATACTGTATTATAAATACTAATTGATTTATATTAATTTTTCAGGCAATGAATTATTGCAAAATTAAATCAGGATTAATTGTACCTTGTTATGGTATAACTAAATTCCCAGATAATGGAAATTATGCAATGGTTCTTCATTATCTTGAAGATGGAAATTTAAGGGATTATTTACAAAAAAATCATTCTAATTTAACATTAAAAGACAGAATTAAAATTGTTTATCATTTATGTAATGCATTAAATGATATACATAAAAAGGATTTAATCCATTGTGATTTACATAGTGGTAATATATTATTGCAAGGAGGTGATGGTTATATTACAGATTTAGGATTATGTGGACCAGTTGATGAAAAATCATCAAAGATCTATGGAATTGTGTCATACATTGCACCTGAGCTACTTAGAGGCAACAATAATCCAAAGAACACAAAAGAAACAGATATTTATAGTGTTGGGATGTTAATGTGGGAAATATTTGCAGGTCATCCACCATTTGACAATAGTGCTCATAATTATCATTTAATTATTGGTATATGTGAAGGTCAACGACCACCAATATTATCAGGAATGCCTGATGATTATGCACAAATGATGCAGAAATGTTGGGATGGGGATCCATCTAAAAGACCAACTTCTGAAGAGCTTTGGGAATTTTCTGTAAAAAAGTCAAAAGAAGTTCATACAACTGAAAGTTTGAAAAATCATGGCAATGGTTTAATAAAAATGATTTTTAATAATGATGGTAACAGCAGCAGCAGCAGTGGTAGTGGTACTTGTAGACATCCAGGTGCATATCATAAAAGTAGAGTATTAAATGAAGAAATTGCTAAATCAATAAGCTTAAAAAGTTATTCAAGTAATGATAGTTCATTGAATGATCTTGACCTTAACTCTTTTCTTGATTTTAACAAAGGTGAATTAATTTTTTATTACTAAATTAATCAGAAATCACTATCTAATTATTACTAATAATCTTTTATTTATAAACGTTAGTTTCTAGTAACAACAGTAAAGAAAGGTCGAGATTAAAATATTGATTGTTGATGAATTGTTCGACTAATAAACCAAGGTTTTATATTGTATTTAATACCACATGTAACAAAATGTAACAAAATCCGATTAATTTGATATTTAACATAATAAATTTCTAGCTAATAGTTTTGATGCATATAACCTTCCATATTTATTGAATTTTTCAACAAAAAGGGTTAATACGTTTATCATTTGCCTCATATATCAAAAATTGTGTAATTTTTTATGTTAACAAGCTCACAACTGAGAACGCAATGCGAGCTTATGTTTTTCGTGTTACAAATCACGCGCACCATGTTACGCGAGAACAAAAATTCATTTATTTTAAGTGGGTTTGGGATTGCATCTTCTTCATAGAAAACGACATCACTCGGGCCAAGACAGTAGTCTATTTTATTAAATCCAAGACATATAAATAGGACAGTTGTCCCACTTTTTTTTTTGAAAAATTTGAATATTTTCATGTAACAAAATCGGATCTTAATTTTTATTATCATCCCCAAAAAATGATGATTCATTGTTGTTAACAATTACAAGCTCACAACTGGGAACGCAATGCGAGCTTTTGCTTTTCATGTTACAAATCACGCACACCATTCTATGCGAGAACAAATATTCATTTATTTTAAGTCGGGTTTGGGATTGCATCTTCTTTGCCGCAAAGAGCAAAAAAATGACATCACTCGGGCCAAGACAGTAGTCTATTTATTAAATCCAAGACATATAAATAGGACAGCCGTCCCCTTTTTTTTTTGAAAAATTTGAATACAGTCAAACCTCGCCACAGCGGATTCATGGTTCCAACCAAAAAAATCCGTTATGACGAGAAATCCGCTGTGGAAAAATTGGTGATGATCGGCAAAAAATTTTTTAATAATAATAAATAAATAATACAATTAATAACATAATAAATAATACATGCGGAAATTAAAAATTATTTGTTGAAATAAGATGTAATATTTGGTTGTAATAGTTTTTCATTATTTAATAATCTCACTTTTCTTTTCAATGATTTAAATGCTTTAAATTCTTTATAATCTATTTCTAAATCGCCTTGTTGAAGAAAATTAAAAGCTGTCTCAAAGGCATTTACAGCATCTTTTGTTGAAACTTTAGGTATAGTGTTATTCTCAACAACAACTTCTTCTTCTGGATTGAAGGAGGCGATTATTTCTTCTTCTGTCACCATTTCATTATGGCTTTGAAAATCATCAATGGTAATATATTCTTCTGCTTCTAATGGGGTGGCAAATGATAATTGACTAATTAAATTATGAACATCATTCCTTTCTCTATTTGAAATCTCTTCAGCTATATTTTCAATTTCACTATTAGATATTGCATTTTCCAAAGGGAGAATTCCAGTTTTCCTCCAACAATTGATAATTGTAGCTGATGTTACATTATCCCAAGCTTTCTTAACAAAATTTATCACATTCATTATATCAATCGATTTTGATAAAGATATAGCAGGATTAGGGTTTTGTGAAGACGTAGGATTAAGATATGAAATATGTGAATCATAATTGCTTATTTTTTTTTCAAGTAGTAGTTTTCTGTAGTGTGCCTGTAATATACAAACATTAGTAAACATAAAATAAATAAATAATTTAAATTAAATAATTGAATTGGCTAACCTTGAAGCTGTGAATTATTCCTGCATCACATGGTTGCAGATGTGCAGTTACATTTGGTGGAAAATGATGAACCCTTATGTTTGTTAATTGTAAATCTTCAGTCAAACTATGTGTTGGTGCATTGTCAACAAGCAATATTATATTCCTTTGTTGAGTTCTCATTCTTGTATCTAAATTTTTAAGATACTCATTCCAGATTGATATTTGCATCCAAGCCTTACTATTCCAATAGTAATCTACTGGTAATGTTTTTTTATCAATTCCTCTTAAAGGCCGTGGAGTTTGAAATTTATGTATGAACAAAAGAGGCAATTTCTCCGTTCCAGTTGCATTGCATGTAAGTAGAATTGTTACTCTATCTTTGTCTTGTTTTGTTCCTGAAAGTGGAGCAGTTGACAATCCATGTGTTGGTTCCATTTTCCAAAAAAGACCAGTTTCGTCACAATTGAAAATATCATTAAGTTGATATTCTTTAAGAATATTTTGCAAGTCTCTTCTCATTTCTGGAAGTTGTTCAAGAGGAGCACTTTGTGCTTCACCATGTTTAGAATATTCACGGATTGAATATCTTTGTTTGAAATTAGTTAACCAACCAGAGGAACCACTAAAATCTTGATTATTTAACAGCTCTGCAAATTTCATGCCTTTTTGTTTGATAATGGAATCTGTAATTGTTAAACTGCATTCAAGAGCTTTTTCAATCCATAAAATTAAAGCTTCTTCAATATTGGTAAATGGAGCAATAGATGGTCTTTTTAATTTTGCTTGATAGGAATTTGGATCGATTTTAATCCATTTGTCAGAATCCTTTAATATATCACTAACTTGGCTTGTACTGATTCCAAATTGGTTTGCTAATTCAATATTTCTTGGTTCAGGTTTACTTTTTTTCAACATACATAATTCGCGTTTTTGTACTGCAGTAATATATACACGTTTTTTGGAGGAGGATGATTGTTGAGACATTTTAAATAATTTTTAATTGTATAAAAAAATTTTTTTTTTTGATTTATAGGATTATTTTTAACATTTTAATCAATGGAATTTATTTTAATTTATACATTTTGAAAATTGACTTTATTATGAATCTTTGGAAAAATGATCTTGTTTTGTTTTATTGTTTAGAAACTTTGAAAAAATTGTTACTCGCAAATATTTGGACAAATAATCTATCAATTGTTGGTTTATTAATTTATTTTAGAAACTTGTTACTTGCAAACATTTGGACAAATAACCTATCAATTGTTTGTTTATTGATTTATTTTAAAAAGTTGTTACTCGCAAACATTTGGACAAATAATCTATCAATTGTTTGTTTATTGGTTTATTTTAGAAACTTGGAAAAGTTGTTTTTAAAATTCATGGATAATAATCTATCTATTGTTTGTTTTATTGCTTTATTTTAATACTGACCTTTGATTAAAAATAATCTATTTGATTGTTTGTTTTATTATTTTACTTGAAATTTTTGTCAAATCGGGAAAAGAAAATTTTTTTTTACATTTGTTTATCAATTTTGGTAATTTGGATAATTTCATAAATTTATATGTCACGTGAATCCGCTGTGACGAGATTAGTAGCCATATAGAAAGACCCCCATCCACAATCCGTTAACGTTGTGGAACAAATTTATTAATAAAATCCGTTATGGCAAACATTTTTAATTAATAAAAAAAGGGGCCAATATTTAAATCCGTTGTAACAAGAAATCCGCTGTGGCGAGGTCCGCTGTGACGAGGTTTGACTGTATAGAAGTTTTCAGTCATAACGTTGATGCAGTTTATTGATGATTAGTATAATTGCGTGTTTGATTATCAGGTGACTCAATCGAAATGTCCAATCAGATTAATTATAAACCTGATAAGATAATATGAATTACATTTTTTAACTAACATTATTTCAATAATATAAAATATATTCTGCTTGATACAAAAACTCTTTAATTCAATTTTTACCATTTACCCCAACTACAATATTATGAGTGTTGGATAAAAATGACTTGCATACAAAAAAAAGTGTAATATTTACATTGGCTTTACACATGCAGCATCTGGAAAAAATGCATCATTCATGTTAAAAGGAAAAATTAAAAAGTTTTTTTCTCTTTTGAATAAGGCTCTGCATGAGCCAGATTGCGAGGAGCTTTACTTTTGAAATAATTCTTTTATTAAATTGTTATTTCCAACACTGGTTACAAATGTCCACTATGCTCTACATACCCCTACAAAAAGTATCAACTCACTTGAAGACCTGCAAAATAATCAAATAAATGGTTAATAAATACTCATTTTTTTACTATATAAGCAAATTGATGTTGTGCTGAAATAATTCTAAAATATCACATTGGACCAATTGTTATTGATAATTTTATGATGTTTAAAAGTCAAATTAAAATCTTTCAAAAAAGTAGCACTTAGAGCTATTTAAGATACAATGTTTTAACACATCTAGGGAACTTAGAAAATATTGTTCTGTTTGTCTCAAATGTATATATATAAATGTTCATAATTATTATAATTATTGATCAAATATTCATAGTGAATTAATACAAAATGTAAAAATAACAAAAAAAAATTCATCCACAATTTGCATAATATTTTACATAAATCATTATTAAATTTACATCAAAAGTATCAAAAAAGTATAAATATTTCATTCATTTATTATTTCATTTATTCAATATTTTGTCAAGTTTCCTTTTGATTCAATTATAGCTTGAACCCTTCAAGGAATGCTATCTACTAATTTTTGCAAATAATCATGATCAAGATTAGTCCATTCATCCATTAAATAAAAAACTAATTCATTTGTATTTTTTGAAAGAGCAATAGTAGTTTGATCTTAAATGCTTTTATTGTATGAGTTACTTGTGACTGAAAATGACTGAGTGCATCCAATGTCACAAGTGTTTTCATCTGCTTCCCAACATCTAATTATTCAAAGTCTGTTAATTGAGACATGAAGGTTCAATCTTTTTTTTTTTAAAAAAAAATCTAGTTTTGGTTAGATATTTAAGCCGTCCTTTAAAGTTTGTTCACGCATAATGATAATTGTTTTGCATAAAAAATTCATTACGATTTTTTTTACATTTTGTATTAATTCTCCATGAATATTTGAGAACAAACAGAACAATATTTTCTAAGTTCCCTAGATGTGTTAAAACATTGTATCTTAAAATAGCTCTAAGTGCTACTTTTTCGAAAAATTTTAATTTGACTTTTAAACATCATAAAATTATCAATAACAATCGGTCCAATGTGATATTTAGAATGTTATGGGAATCATTTCAGCAAACATTTTCTCGCTAATACACAACATCTTAAAAAACGAGTATTTGGTATATATTCGATTATTTTTGCAGATCATCAAGATCGCCTGATAATGGTTAGCCCAAAATTATTGTGATTTGATTGATTGATTGATATCTGATTATGATTGACAATTAGTATGTAAACAAACGATGGTCATTTTTGGTTAATTTCTAAGTTTAAAAAATAAAAATGCTTTTAGAAGTAATTCAAATCATCATTGTAACCTCAAGTTTCATTATCATATTATTAAAATTTAATAAACAAAGCTCAGATTATGACTTTTTAGATGAATCTGGCGATACCTTTGTTGGTACCTCACGTTTCTCGACTCTAAAGAGAGATGTTTTTAAATTAGTTTTTATATTGCTTCAAACCGGCTTGTACACGTTTCTATTTTTTTGGGATTTTAAGAATGACGAGGAAAGCACCAGATTGTCACAGGACGCAATGTTTACATTTTATTGGGTATTGAGTTTTATAATATATTCATGCTTTATTCAGTTTGCAAAGAAATTTTCATATAATTTCAATTACTTTTTTTTTTTTTAAAAAAATAAAAAGTTTTACTCGACTATAATATCGATAATTGCTCTTAAGGCAAGTTCAAGAAAATTACGATGGGTTATCAACATCATTCTGACAATAATTTTTACTGTAGCTACTATGTTATCCCTTTTGCAAATGAGAAGAATTTTTTTAATAGAATCAAATGATGCGGAACACACAAAGATACAAATATCAATAGCTGTTTGCAATTTAATATTATCAATATTATTGACATCCATATCTATTACGACGCCTAGAGGGCCAAAATTAATGCATGGTGAAAGACCAGTTAGTGGAATTGTTTATTGTTCAATATGGGATTTCCTAACATTTTCTATGATTTCGCCATTAATAAATAAGGCATCAAAAGGTCCACTCAAAGATTCTGATCTTGAAGAACTTCCATTTGCTAATCGAGCCTTGTCACTTTACAACAGTATAAAAAAATGGAGGGGTCGCAAATTAGTATACAGAATTTTTAATGCAAACAAAAAAATCATCATTATCCAATTAATTCTTACAATAATTTCGGCTGCGTTATACTATGCACCAATTTACTTATTATTTCAATTCTTGGAATTAATCCAAAAAGAGGAACGTTCCTTTATCAATATTTTTAGTGTTCTCGCACTAATGTTTATAACAAACGTCGTATTACAATTAATTATTGCACAACAATGGTTTATAAGTAGCTCTTTGTTGCAAGCAGGCATCAAAGGTCAAATTTCATCTGAAATATATTCAAAGAGTTTAAAAAGAATTGATTCGCATGCAGCCTCATCCAACGAAGACAATACCGATGATAAAGCCGGGGAAACTTCAAATAACATCGAAGAGGAAAAAGATGGTGATGATGATGACGATGATGAAGAAGAAGAGAATGGAACAATCGGTAAAATAACTAATTTGATGTCAGTGGATGTTGGTCGTATATCCGAATTTGCTACTTGGTGGAGTACTGGTTGTATTGATTCACCAATTGAGTTGATTGTTGGACTCTATTTCTTGTATAAATTATTGGGTGTTTCATGTTTATTAGGTTTTTTATTTACCATTTGAATTTTAGAAATTGAAGTATTATTTATTACACACACAAAATAACTTAATTCAAATTTCTAAAATATTTTAATTAGGGTTATTGGTACTGGTAATAACATTACCTATTAATCATTTTACGGCGAAGAGTTATGCAAAAACTCAAGACAATCTAATGAAAACAAGAGATCGTAGAATTAATTTAATGAATGAAGTAATCTTATTTATTTTATATATACATACATACATACATATGCATTAATTTATAATTTTTAATTTTTATAATTAATTAGCTTCTTCAAGGGATAAGAATGATCAAATTTTTAGGCTGGGATAAAAAATGGGAGGCTCGTGTTTTAGGTAATTTAATTAATTAAGAATTAATCAAGATATTGTTCCTAATAAAGAAATCAATACATATATATATATATATATTTATTTATTTATTTATTTATTTAATGGAATATCAAATGTTTTATAGATGCACGCGGTGAAGAGCTTGTACAGTTGAAAAAAAATTTCATTTACCTGTCAATTTTTGATTTGTTATGGGCAGCATCGCCAGCTCTTGTGTCGGTTATTTCATTTATTGCATATACAAAAATCATGGGAAATGAACTTACAGTCTCTATAGCATTTACATCAATTTCGTTGTTTAATGAACTAAGATTCGCATTTAATGTTATACCTGAATTTGTTATGGAATTATTTCAATGCTTAATTAGCGTCAATAGAATTGAGAAATTCTTAGAAGAAGATGAGATAGCCATTTCAAATGAAAATTATACAAGTATTGAAAACAAGATAGCTTTTGAAAATGCAACTGTTACCTGGAATAAGAATAAGGCCACTAAGGAAACCGAAACCAATGAAAATGTTGCACCGATTTTCACAATCAACGATTTAAATATTGAATTTCCCATGAAGGAATTAAGCATAATATGTAATGAATCATCACTTTTTTTTTCTCAACGATTTTTACAAAAACATTATTAATTTAATTATTTATCTATTTTGTATCAAACAATTTAGGTGGACCAACTGGTTCAGGAAAGGTAAATTAAATTCATTATTAAAGTTATTAACGTAATTATTTTACTCGGATTTATCAATTAATTATATAACAATTATGTTTATTGTAGACGTTACTAATGATGTCATTATTAGGAGGTAATATAGAAGACGGATTTATTTTTTTAATGTTTTTCATTTTATAAATCGTATTAAAAAAATTTTTTTTTTGTATAGAATCTAATATTATCAATGGCAAAATATTTTGTCCACGTTATAAGATGGAGCAAACCGATACAGGACTCAATTCATCTAATTGGATTATCGAAAATAGTACTGCGTATGTAGCACAACAAGCCTGGCTTCAAAATGCAGCAATTCGTGACAACATTTTATTTGGCCTGCCCTACAATGAGTCTCGTTATAAGCAAGTCATTAAGATGTGTGCATTAGAAAAAGATTTTCGGATTTTTGAAGATGGCGATATGACAGAAATTGGTGAAAAGGGAATAACACTTTCCGGTGGTCAGAAACAACGTTGCTCTTTAGCGAGGTATTAATGATAACAATAATAAATTCCTTATAATGTAAAGGGGATCGATTAATTAATATAAACATATTATTTTATTCCGTTATATTTACAACAGAGCAGTTTATTCAAGAGCTCAGATTATCTTTATAGATGATGTTCTTAGTGCTGTAGATGCTCATACTGCTAAACATCTTATGAACGAATGTATATTAGGACCATTGATGAAGGGTCGAACTCGAATTCTCGTTACACATCACGTTGGATTATGCTTATCTGGTGCTTCTTATCTGGTGCGATTTTTTTAGTAGATTCATAATATACATAGATACCATCTTATTGCTTTTAAAATTTCAAAAAATTAATTGAAATAATTATTCAGGTTGCTATTAATAACGGAAAAATTACGGCATCAAGCAGTATTTCTGATCTGATTAATACTGGTCAATTGGCTACTGTTTTGGAGGAATCGGATAGCCGAGCAGCATATGATGATATTATTGAATTGGCAGCAGAAAATTTTGATAAAGAAAATGCAAATAAAGATTCATCGCGTATAATTGAATTATCAACAGCTTCTTCAACGACAACGACTCTGATAAATGCTGATGCTGGAGATAATAATGAAGAGTCAATACAGCATAATTATAAACCCAAAGTGTTGGTAGAAGAAGAAAGTATGTCAATAAATCATTATTAAAAGTGTTTTTATCACGACATATATTTATTTCTAACATTAATCAATTTGTTTTTAGAACGACCTACAGGCGTTGTTAGATTAAAAATTTACAAAACTTATTTTCGTGCAAATGGGTTCATCATATTTTGGTTGATAGTAGCTCTTCTCTTTATTTTTACGAGGGTATCGCAAGTTTCAGAAAGTGTGTGGTTAAAGATATGGTCCATGTCTTCCACCAATGATCAGAAAATGAATGTCACTACTATTTTACCCTTCATTTCACTGCCTGACTCGAGTTTGATCGGAGAAAAAACTTTGCATGTTTATGAGAAACACAGCGTTGAATATTATTGTGGGATTTATGTTTTAATAACATTTGCATCGATTTTGATTGGATTTGCACGTTTTTGCTGGCTGTACTTTGGATCATTGAGAGCCTCTAGGAGATTGTACAGAATTTTACTTCACCAAATTATTCGTGCACCATTAAGATTTTTTGATACTACCCCTGTTGGAAGGATTCTTAATAGGTTCAGCAAAGATTTTGAAACAATAGATGACAGGCTTATAAGTAAGATTCTAATTTGACAGATTTTTAATTCTTTTTTAATAATAAAATTTTTTAATAATTTTTTTTCATTTCATTCTTTATAGGTGATCTAGCTTGGTTTCTAAACAACGTAATTTTTATACAAAAGATATTTATTACCCTATAATTTATTTAAATTAACTTTTGCGTGTATATTTGTGGGATTATTTTCTACTATTTATAGGTTATTATGATGTTTAGCACTGTAATTGTAATAGTCTCCATTACAAAAGGTTTGATTTCTACTGTATATTTTTTGTTTGTGATATGTATGGCTAATCAGTACTAATACTAAAAAAAATTTTACATTTAGAACTTATGATTGCATCTATACTTTTCGGAGGTAAGCTATTGACTTATATTTAGTTTAATTATTCCTATAACGAGACTAAATATATCTATTTCTCTGTCTTCCTATATTTAAGCTTATTTTTTATATATTGGGAATCTATACACAAAAGCTTCAAGAGATCTTAAACGAATGGATTCTGTGATAAGATCGCCTTTATACACACATTTCACTGAAACCATAATGTAAAGATAAGATTACGCATAATCTAAATTTTAAAATTTAATTGATTAATTGATTTATATATATATATATTTCTTTTATTCTATTTTATTATTTAATAGTGGCATAACAACTATAAGAGCTTTCGGAGTTACAAAACAATTTATGGAAGAAATGTTATTTAGGTTTTTATGGCAGATTATATAATTTAAAAAAAAATTTTTTTCAAAGAAATAAATCAATAATAATATCGTTGTAATTGTTTAGAATTGATAATAACAATCGACCATTTTTTTATGTATGGTTGATCAATCGTTGGTTATCTATTCGATTCAATATTGGAGGTGCATTTTTTATATTTTTGGTTGGTTTATTTATAATAATAAGTAAAGTTGATGCCGGATTGGCTGGATTGTCGTTGTCATTTGCGATGAATTTTACTGAACAAATAATGTGGAGTGTGAGGAAGTATACTTCATTGGAAATGAGTTTGAATTCGGTGGAAAGATATCATGAATTCACTGAAATTCCTCAAGAGGCGCCAGAAATAATTGAACCAAGGCCTCCAGCTAGTTGGCCACATGATGGAGCTATTGATGTACAAAATCTGGAGGTTAGATATGCTCCTGATTTAGAACCTGTATTGCATCATATCTCTTTTTATATAAAAGGTTGTGAAAAGGTTGGACTTGTTGGAAGGTAAATATTAATATAATGGAAGGAAGATTTTTATTTATTTAATTTATATAATTGTATGTATTTGTGTATTTATAATTTTCATAGAACCGGATCTGGAAAATCAACTATAGCTTTATCTTTATTTCGGTTTATTGAACCATCAGATGGGCAAATTTTAATTGATGGAATTGATATATCATCAATTGGTATTGAAGATCTAAGATCTAGAATCACCATTATTCCTCAAGATCCAATACTTTTTTCAGGTTGAAAATAATTTTTATACACGTGATTTATTTTTTAAAAATAAATACTCATTTATATTTATATTTATATTTATATAGGCACCATAAGATCAAATCTCGATGCATTCTCAGATTATCAAGATGAAGAAATTTATGAATCTTTAAGACGTGTTCATTTATTACCATCATCTGAATCGAATCAAGATTTCACTTTGTCAGGGGATAATATTAATGTATTTAAAAATTTAGATACTCCTATTAGTGAAGGAGGAAAAAATCTTAGTCAAGGGCAAAGACAATTATTATGTTTAGCAAGAGCTTTATTGAGAAGATCAAGAATAATATTAATGGATGAAGCTACAGCAAGGTGTTTATATAATAAAATTTTTAAAGGAGAAATTACTTGTTTTTAAAATTTTATTATTTACATTATTATTATCTATTTAGTATAGATTTTAGTATGGATGAAAAAATTCAACAAATGATAAGAACGGAATTTTTGGATTGTACAATATTATGTATTGCGCATCGTTTACGAACTGTTATTGATTATGATAAGATATTAGTTATTGGTAAGAAATCATATAATTAATTAATTTGTTTTTCTTTCTCTTGTTGACTTAAATATATTTAATTTTCATTTTTTTATTAGACCATGGAAAAGTAATAGAATATGACAGGTAGGAAAATAACAATAACAAATATATAAATGGGTTTTTGTGTTTGTTTGTAATCCTATAATTTAATAATTATTTCTTCTCATCTTCAAAAAAAATAGCCCATCCAATTTAATATTGGATTCAAATTCACTTTTTCATCAAATGTGTCAAAGTTCTGGTGAAATTGATTTATTAATGACATTATGTTTAAAGAAAGGCAATAATTAAAAATGTTGTAAAATTTTGAAATGTAAAATAGTTGGTTTATAAATGTATTTTTATATATTATAAAAATAAAACTATTTTGCAATAAAAACTATATCTTTTGAAGATAAATTAATTTTATATTAAAAAATAATTTAATTAATTTAATTATTTGGTGGTAAATTTTTTTTCAGCCAATTTCTTTAGGCGGTCTTTCTCTAGACGTTCTAGTCGAGGTTTGGCTTGAATCTCGCCGTTATTTAAAGCAGCTTTTAATAATTTTGTTGCTTCACATGTATTTCTGGAAATACCTTTGCCACTTGCATAACAACATCCAGCACGATATTGTCCAAATGCATTATCTTTATTAGCAGAATCCAAATACAATTCAAACGCTCTTTTAATATCTTGTTTACCTTCTGCACCAACTTCGCCATTTTCATAAAGATGACCTAACCAAGCTTGACCGGTTGGCTCTTTAAGATTATTGGATTTTTCAAAATATTTAGAAGATTCAACTTTATTGATTGGAGTACCTATGCCCACGTAATAAAAAAAACCAATCAAAGTTAGGTAAATAGGCGATGTTTCTTGTATACTGATCAATTCCTTGAGAATTTCCAAAGAAGTTACATTCTGTTCTTCAATGGATTTTTGGATATTGTTTGATACCTCCTTATGTTTGGTGAAACTCAAAACATTAAAATTTTCTTTTATAATTTTATCAATAATCTCTTTTTTTGATTTGATTGTTGGAGATGGTAAATTGGATAATTCTTGATAAATTTTCAAATCACTACTGTAACCAGGTAGTTCTTGAGGAATTATATATCTACTTATATTATTCTCTGTGCTCATTGGAGATAATGGGTTGGATGATGGTTGATAAATTTTCAAATCACTACTGGAATCAGGTAGTTCTTGAGGAATTATATATCTACTTATATTCTCTGTGATCATTGGAGATAATGGGTTGGATGATGGTTGATAATTGTTTAAATAACCATTATAAGTATCAGACAGCGTTTGAGGAATTTCAAATTCATTTTCTAAATTGGAAGTTTTAGTTTGTGAATTATCGTTATCATTTGTATCCCCGCCAGGGTTTTTATTGATTTCCGATGAATCGTCGTCAGTCAAAACATTGATATCAACCTTTTCCAATTCTTCTAGAACCTTAATTAAATAGGGTCTTTTCTCCGGATCATCATTCCAACAATCTTAAAATAGAAATCAGAAAAATGCAAATAATACATATAATCGCAATCACAATAATAAAATAAATACCTTTATAAACATCAACATATTTTTTAGGGGTTCCTTTGATTATTTTTTCTCTATTACCCTCAATAATTGAGTATACAAGCGAATAGTCACGAGGTACTGATTCGAAAGGAATCCTGCCACTTGATATTTCCCATAATAAAACTCCAACACTATAAGTGTCTGACTTACTATTACGACTATAGGTTTGATTTTTCAAATATTGTGGATCAGAATATTCAACAGAGCCCAAACTTTTAACTAATGAACTTGTGGGCTCTATCACACGTTTTGCAATACCAAAATCACTAAGCTTTGCGACTCCGGAATGAATTAAAATATTTTCTGAATGCTAATAATAATAATATGATAATTGATAAATAAAGATATAAATAATTTTTTTTTATTGAAAATAATAAAATATGATCACTTACTAAATCTCTATGAACTATTTCATTAGCATGTAAACATGCTACTGCGCTGACAATTTGTTTACCAAGTTTTAATTTAACATCCCAAGATAATCGATTCTTTTTTAAATAACTACGAAGGGTACCACTATCAGCATATTCAACTACTAATATATATTGACTTTCTTTTGGAAAGGACAAAAGATCATTATTTTTGAAAGAAGTAAAAAAAAAACCACAAGCTTTTTAATAAATATTTGCCTCTTTTGGTTATTCCATAAAACCGTATTATATTATCGTGTGATTCAACCTTTCGATGTTGTTTCATCTAAATCAATGAACGTTATATTAATAACAAAAATTGTTTAATGATAAATCTGCATGTAAATTTTGGTTTTCAAAAAAAGAATATGTATAATGTGTTGTGTGAATACTTCGTTGACAAGTAGGTCGAATGACACATTGTTAAGTTCTTTTAAAGCCATTGTTTTTTGATAGCGAGTAGATCTAGCACGAAACACTCTACCACAAGCACCCTTCCCGATCAGTTCAAAATCAACAAAAGAGCCATACTCATAAAGATTTATATGTTCATTTTTTATGGCATCATCTAACCACTTTTTTATTGTAGACATTTTGATTGAAAAAATTTGAAAACCATAATTGGTAATTTTTAAATATCGCTCTCGTGTACAATTAATTGTGTTACATACATAAAAATATTCATTTAAAACAGTCAAACCAGCAAAGCAAAGGAAAAAACTACAAAGATGATTTTTATGTTTATGGGTCAAAATTATTGCAAATATGTATATAGTAAAACCATACATACGCGAAAGTCAACAATTGATAACCATTTAAGGAGTAATTCTATCAAAAAAAAAATCAGATGCACAAAATTCTAGTGGACAACAAACGCTTCTTCGTATATCAACATCATAAAAGCATTTGTGGAAGTTGATAATAATACTTTGATAAACTTCAAAACTGGAAAACCCTTACTGCATCTACCCAATCAAAATAAAGAACGGGACGGTTTGTGTAACCAAGGTAGGAATGGGCAATCATTTAGGAAATATTCGTCCAATCTAGTCCAATAAAGAAAACCATTCGGACACGCGAAAAGGACTGGGGACGGGTTCAAGACACACTCCCCCATCCTTTTCATGTTGAGAAGGACGAGTGAAAAGGGACGAATTTTCTGCGCCATTACTGCCTGTCCCTAATGTTTCCTTAAAAAGGACGAGTATTAATAAATAATATTTGCGGTATTGTATTTTTCATGCGTCCGATTATTATTATTTAATTAGCTTTATTTATTATCTATTATGATTTGTATTCTTTATGACTTTATTTTTACATGAGCTTTAGCCTCAATTGTATAATAAAAAAATAAAAATCAAGACTTTAGATAAGGAATAAATAGATGCGGGAAATTATAATAGTCCTATTTTGCAGCCTGTTTACTAAAAATTATGCTTATGACAACATCTTTCGCCTGCCTTTTTCAAGGTTTGCTCACGAATAATGTAAGGGAGCAATGGGATGGGTGGTAATGGTACAGTAACCCACATTTTCAAGATTCTCCCACAAATAATAGAAAAGGACAATGGGACGGGCAGTAATGGCACAATAACCCGTCCGTTCTTTTCAAATTATAGAAAAGGGCAGTGGACCACACCTGTCCCATGTTAGTTACCCGTCCTTTTTTATATTATTTTGCAGAATACCCGTACCACCATCATTTGTCCTTTTCTAGTATTAATGGGCCAAATTTGAAAAGGACGGGGACGGGCAGGTGTGGCTTGAACCCTGTCCTTTTCCAACATCCTGTTTTGAAGTTGCTATTTTACATTCTTATTATTAATTAAAGGATGTTTTTCCTGCCTTCCTTCAAAGTCACGTTACATAAAAACATAATATGCTAAATTATATTATATCATTTGTTAGAAATCCTCCATTCAATTATTACATACAATTGTTTATATTAATATAGACAAAATTCTGTTTAAAATTGGCATGGAATAATTGCATATAATTTTTTTCGATAGATAAAAATCGGGCTCTTTTTTATCTGATGAGTTATTAATTTTGCTGAAAAAATACAATAAAAATCAGATATATGCTACTATTATTATTATTATTACTATTTTTTACTGATTTGTTCGAACTGTCCTTTTCTACTAGTACTAGTGATAGTTACAAACCATCATTGACTTTTCGATATCTTTTAAATCATTATGAGATTCTTTCTATTATATTAGTCTTATCTTCATTTGTATTAATTTTTTTATTATAATTAAATTTCATTGGTCGAACTATATTTAATAATTTCCCAAAATAGTCGTGACGTGACTTTATTTTTATAAATAATTTTTTAAAAATGAGTCATTGTAGAAGTGAACATAATGAAAGTCAAGGACACTCCCATGATCATGATCATCACGATCACGATCACGATCATGAAGGTCCTGATAGAGGTACCCAGGAATCGTTATATTCACGAATAGATCGAGATAATGTTAGATGTTTGAATGAAAGCGAAATTGAATCAGGGAAAAATGTAATAAAACCTTGGAATGAGAGAAATGACACAGCTAAGGTTTTGTTTGAAAGTTAAAGTCTAACTCAAATTATGTATATTAGGAATTTTTGTAAAAAAATATATTTGGCCTTATTAATAATAAAAGATTGTTACTTCAGTTTGTGGAAAGTGATTCAGATGAACAATTGATCCTTTTCATTCCGTAAGAAAACATTCGCTATCTTCCTAAATACATCTAATTATTGTAGGAGAATAATTAATTAATACATTCTGTATAATGTAGATTTACTGGTAGCGTTAAGTTAAAATCAATCTTTATTAAATCTGATTCAGGAGAAGATTGTCCACGTTTATTGAAAGTGTATGTTTGTTTGCTATTTATTACTGGATTTGTTATCAGTTAATTTAACAATATATTGATGGGTGGATTGATTTTTTAATTTTCATATAATATTAAGTTACATTAATCGTGAAGATATTGATTTTGATAATGTTGAAAGTTTCACTGCAACTCAAGAATGGGAATTGATTCAAACAAATGATGTAGCTGAATATCAAACTAGGTTGATTATATTGATTTTTTCCTCTCATAAAAAAAAATATATAAAAAAATATATAAAAAAGTTAACAAAAAGTTTTTTTACCAAAAACCCCATTTAAGAATTACCAAAATGTATAATGTAAGAAATATAACTTTATATTTCCAAGAAAATTACGGAGGTGAAACTACAAAATTGTTTTATGTTGGATTTAAAGGAGAATGGACTGAGGTTAGTGGCTATTATTTATTATTATTAAAAATAGAAAATATTCCAAAAAAAAAAATTTAATTTCAATTTTTTCAACTTTAGATCAAGAAAGACCATGTTATAACTTTATATGAAGCAGCTCCAAATCCTGCTGATCATAAAAAGTCAATTAATGAAAATATGGTTAACCATACGATTAATTAATGTGAAATTATTCTTTGTTAAATAAAATTGTTAAAAAAAAATTATTCATCAAAAAAATTATGGCTTTATAGAATATTGATAATTGAAACATCACAATAAATTAATGGATATGCTTAGCATTCGATTTTACCTCTAGAATAAGAGGAATTCATGTAAATTTTGAATTTTTCTACTTGACTTCAGTATTTGTGCTATACTATTTGCACACAACTACGCAGTTCTATTGATGAATGATAAAGAAGTTTCATATTCGTGGTCTTGTCTCCAAAATTTACTTTTTTATGAGGTTTAAAATCTATCTAATCTATATGTTGTCAAGTAGAAAAATAAGTTATGTATAAATAAACCTTGGTTTAGATCTGCCACTATTTGGATGACAATCCTATAAATATAAAAATTCAAAAAGTTTTTATACAAAAAAAATATGATCGATAATAATAATGATGATAATGATAATAAAAATAAAAATATAAGCGTTAGTAGTAATAATACTAATGGTAACGGTAACGGCAACGGTAACGGTAACGGTAATATTAACCCTCAACGCACAATATTTAATAAAGATGATTTTATAAAGGTTTTAAAGGTTTGAATTTTTAACCAAGTAAAAAAATATTATTTATTTATCTATTTAAAAATTAAAGATATTTGATTTAAATAGAATTTAACTATTGAAGATTTTAAAAATATTGGGAAAATACCTTGTGCCCGTGATAGTTTTTTATATGGAGTTAGTGGAGGTATTGGTGTAGGAGCCTTCAAATATTATTTACAAAAACGTAAAATAATTTTACTTTTAAAAAAAATAAGAGTATACAAAATTTATACATTTATATTTATTTGATTTATTTGATTTTTAGGTAATTTTTGGACAGTTTCAAATTGGGCATTTGGAGCATTTAGTTTAATTGCAATTGGATCATGGTGATAATATATATATATATTTTAATTGATCTTGTTATTTATAAAAAAAATTTTTTAAAAAAAAATTTTTTTTGTTATTAGGGAGACTTGTAGATATAAAAAAGCAAAAGAATTTAAAAATATTAAAGTAATATTAAAACAAAGGAAAAATCAACAATCTGAAGAAACACAGTAAACTTTTATTTAATTAATTGATTAAGATTCTTTCTTTTTAAATGAGGAAAAATAAATAAATTATATAATATATAATGTACAAATATATAAGAATATATATTGTGTAAATATGCCAATGTCTGTGAATATTAAGATTGAAAGATAGGTTATTATGAGGAAATCACCAAACTTAAATTTCCCCTTTTTAAGATTCATTGTTTTTATGTGATTGCTAACTATTATAAACCATTCAAAAGCACCTTGATTTGTCATTGTAGCTAGTTCAAGAATCATGTCTTTTAACAAATATTTAGACTTTTGCATGCCAATTCATCAGTTGGATTTAAATGTATTTGTATTTCACGAATGTAGTCTTTACAACAACAATTTAACCTTTTCTTTCTTCCCTATCTAATTAATTTATTTTTGTTAAATTCATTATTAATATTAATAAAATAATTTAAAAAATGAAAAATAAAACACTCCAGTAAACTAAAAAAACGTGACTCTAAAAAAAAAACCAACTTTGATATAAAATCTTTTTAGAAATTTTTTCAAGATACGAGGTGTTCAAGAGTTCCTAGATAAATTAAATCATCGCCATCAACATCAGAAAATGAAATTACCATTTCAAATTCTGCCAATGAATCTTCAAGTCCCATAAACCATTTACATTTGTATCGGGGAATTTGCGATGCAGAAAGTCATGCCAATCATAAAAATCAAGAGAAATTAGATCTTACTACTATTTTGGTGAAGCTCTGAAAAACCGACTTGATAGCATCTTGACTAAAATCAAGTTCTTCTGCATTCAGCACAGGTAATATTAAATAGAGAAGTTAGGCAATAACTTCCTGTAAACATTTCTAATTCCAATTTGCAAAAAAAGTAAGAAAAATTTATGAATTTTGTATGGTCAATCTTTTATCACGCGATAATAATAAGAGAACGCAATGTGTAAAATTCAATGGTAACACAATAATCAAAAAAAAAATAAATATGTAATAATTAATTTTCTTTAAATCTTCTAAATTTTGTTGTGTATTGTAAATTAATTACACGGATTTTTGTTTTCTGCACAAATTTTTAGTCACACGGATTCTGTGCAATGCCCGGGTGTAACATTACGCACCAATCAAATTTTTAATTTTTTGAGATAGTTTCTAAATTTGTACTATATAGTTCACAACGAAATTTCAACACTGAGCGTGGTACGCGCCCGTTGAATCCATATTAATTAATATCTTTTCTATAAGTTTTCGTAGATATTTCTTGGATTTTTTTACTTTCAAAAAAGAGACGATATTACAATAACTCGAACAATAATCCGTTTTATAATATATCAACAATAAAGCAGGCCTGATGACATTCTGAAGATATCTAACCAGAGAATCTAAATAGTTTTGTAATACAATCTAAACATTAGTTTTTGAAATTTTAAAAAAATCTAGTGATCACTGAATAAGTGCAATACTGCCAGACTCCATATAAATCTGAGTTATACGTCAGTAGATTAGTAACGGGGATAGTGATAAATATGATTAATCTAATGATGGTAATAATTATTAAGATTTCATTATGATATGTATAGTTTAACAAGATTAAATAAACTCCAAAAAGTTTTGTCATTGTTATAACAATTAGTAGAAAAAAATTTTAAAACATTAATAATAAAAAATAAAATTTTAATCATCTACTGTAAAAAAATTAATTTTATAAAATAATTATTTAATTAGTTATATTGTCAATTATTAAAATATTTCAATTTATGCTAAAAAATATATATATATATATATATATATATATAATTAATTGATTGTTTGATTGATTAAATTAATAAAAATTAAAATATAATAAGGTATTAATTTGATACATACAAGTTCCTGTAAATGAACCTGAAGGATATTCTTTTGTAGAAGGTATGAAAGGACGCGGTGTAGGAAAATCAGTCGAAGGATGAAACTCCCATCGTCCTTCTTTTGTTGGTGGCTCTTTTAATTCTTTTATTGGCAGTTCTTTTGTTGGTGGTGATTTTGTTTGCGGTGATTTGGCTGGTGATTTTGCTCGTGGTGATTTTGCTGGCAGTAGTTCTTTTGCTAATAACAATAATTTAATTGAGATTAGAATTTAAAAGATTTAAGATAATCATCAAGACTTGAAATATGATTAGCTATCAAAATAATTAGAATACACTTACATGAATGATTTACAGGTTTATTAGGGAGTATAGGTGCTGGTTTTTTACTAGTTGGGGGAAGTGGAGGTGGTACTGCTCGTTCACTCTTTTTAGTTTGTTGTGATGATGGTGTATTCCGTGATGGTAATGGTGGTGCAGTTGCTGTTGTTGCTGTTGATGATGGTCTTGCTGGTGTTGTTGGTGGTGCACGTAAAGGTGTACGTGTTGTTGGTGTACGGGCAGGCAATTGAGGAGCAATAGGTGTTGAACGATTAGGTAATGATATACGATTATCTGCACTTGTAGCTCTTGGTCGTCCACCTGGTAATGGAGGTGGTGCTGCTAAACCTTTTCATAGTTTTATAAAATTCATAAATAATCATCATCATTATTATTTCATCATTACCATCAAGAGTAAATAAATTTTCTCAAAAAATCATTAAACTAACTAATTAATAAAATTGCTTACTATTAGATTCTCTGCCAGTTTCTACACCACCACGGCTTTTTAATTTTGGAATTCCACCTGCAAACAAACCACCAAGATTAGCAGCAGATGTAGACGAATTAATTTGCTTATTGTCGCCGGTATTAGAGGCACTTAATGATCGACGCCTATTAACTGTTTGTGCTGTTTGTGCTGTTCGTGTGTTTGACGATTTTTTTTCTGCTAAATTAAATATATATTTTATAGATCAAAAATCAAAACTTTTTACATGTAGAAATTGTAATTGTGAAATCTTTGATAAAATGATTATATACATTTTTTGTAACTTACCGTCTATGATTGGAGCAGATCTATCATTTGTTACAGTTTTTTTCAATTTACTTCCTTTTTGAATATCTGAAAGTAATGCATTTCTACCACCTAGGGCTGCTGGTGATGCATTTTTTTTTGAGGATGGCGGTGGTGGTGGCGGTGGTGGTGGTGGTCCGGCCATATTTATTTATTTTTGTATTTTTATTGTTGTTGTTATATAACGAAGAAATCAAAATAAAAAATTATATATATATATATATATATAGCTTTTGATTTTTTTTTATTAATAATAATAAGCCAAGTTTGTGCGCCGCCAAGTTTGTAAATAAATAAAAATAGTTACACGAACTTTACCACTATATTCTGGTAGATTCCAAGACATTATGTCACAGGGGATCAAATTAACTAAAATTATTATTACCAAGTAAAGTCTCTTAAATAGAAACCAAATAAAAAGCACCCAGACAAGTTGTATCACGTTATATAATTATAAGTTTTGAAAATAAATTCCGTTATTCAAAATCAAAGTTTTGTTATTAGCAGCTAACTCGGACATTTTCAGATATGTTGGTGATCTTTGTCTACAAACATAATTAAAAATTGATTGATATTAAGAAGATTCATTCATTATAATCTTACCTCTTTTTTGGTTTAGATGACCTAGCTAGATATAACGAATTTTTCCAATCTTTTTCCTGATATAATTGACACTAAGAAATCTCTTCACAAGAAAACGGTATTCATTATTTCTTGGGAAAGTCCTTTCAACACTTGGCAATCAGACCGCCCAATATACCTACCTATTGGTAATTTAAACATACATTCAATCACATGATTAGCCATGCCAAAGCTAATTCAGCTTTTTTAGTAAAGCTGATGGATGACATGAAAAAAAGGGTAGGTAGTAGTAGGACATTGTAATTATTGTTACACGTGTCATAATATGTTACATAATGTGTCACTTTTGACTTTTGACTAGAATAACTTTGACTTTCGACATTAGCAATTTGGGCTGAATGTATAGGTATAACCATAGACGTGTAGCTTTCTGGACATTACCTGGTGGTGAGATTCCTCAATACATTTGTATTAGTTACATTTATGACGTCGATAAAATCTGTAATACTTTTGCTGTGATTATCTTTGCACATTGAACCGGAATTCTAACCCAACCCTAACTTTCCTCCACATGAAGCCCTGCTGTTAGATAAATAAATATGTGTATTGCACTTCTTTTTTTCACACATCAAGGAAACTTACAATAGAAATAAAGTTACATGTGGCTTTACCGATCTTCACGTCTTAGACTGTGTTTATTTTCTTCTTTATCAGCTTCGGATTGGTTTACACTGGTAAGGAGGCTATTATTATTGTTAAATATTGTCTCAAAAGCAATCCATGGATAATTATCGGGTTATTTCAAAGGTATTTATTATTAATATAATTAACTTATTTTTAAAATTTTAGATAATTCTTGCAAAAGAGAGAAATGATAATAATAAAAGTATGCAAACAACTAGCACCATCGATTTATTATTTTAACTTTCAGGAATTTTAATACAAGTTGATACTAATTTAGCAAGAGTTTTACGTATGACCTATTTTTTTTCATTATGTGAAAGGAAAAAAAAAAGTATTCATTTAATTCTAATATATATAAAAACTGTATGAAAAATATATGTTTACACTTACACCACCATTAACAGGCAAAGGTTTCCCATCCCACAAATCTGAATGTTTCTTAATTTTCTTCCCTTGACCATCATTATCATTATTAAATTCCAGTATAACAACACTATTTTGTACTTTGTTTTTTTTGAGTAATGGCAAAGTGTAACATTGATTAAAACTAAACTTTAGTATATTCGAATCATTCTGTTGGACTTCAAGAGTTTCTGTTACAGAATTTGTAAATAGTTTTGGCATTCCATAAAATTGAGCTTTGATATTTTTGATTCCTGTACAGTACATGAGTGGATCTTCAAATCTAATTTGCAAAATATATTTATTAGAACCGGATATGTATATAAATATATGCGCTCTCTTTTTCATTCGCTCACGCATACTTACATGACATCATTAGAGTAGTGATTGAATTTTTCTTCAGATGGTTTGCAAGAATATAAATCCAAAATATCCGATACAATTTTTTCTCTTTCTTGATTTAAAGGAGGAATATTCGAAACTAAGTAATTATTAGGTTTGCTAGTATCTGGTAAATTCTTTGTCTCATTGCCATTATGAATATTATCGTTATTCACAATGGTATTGGTATTATTACTAGTTGTTGTAGCTGTTGTTGATGATTTATTTTCCATTTTTATTATATATAATTAAAATAAATTCATTATTATTTATTACAGTATTTATTAATAAATGTGTGAGCAGTGGAGCGTGTAACACAAATTAAAATTTGCAACACAACTATATTTTCCATCCGCAGAATTATACAAATAGAAAGGTGTTTGACTAAAGTTGAGCTAGCCAATGGTTGACATTGATTGTGTGAAAATATTTGGCTGCCTGTTTTCATTTGCTGCCTTGCAATATAATGAAGATTTCGTCATCTCTATTCCAGACTGTGTTACAATTTTTGCAGTTGAGCACAAAATGCAGAGGACTACCAAGTCTTCCATCAATCTTTTTACATATATTTTCTAATCTCATCATATTGCGTTTTGAAGATCTAAACTCGGAATATTTATAACCAAGACCTGCATCACCAAGGGGTCATGATCCCAACAAAAAATTATTGTTGCATTTGGTGATGTAATGTTTAACCCTTGCATGAAAGGAAAAAGGGCAGGTGTATGTAGGATTCTTTACAAGGAACTTTGTTGCCTGGAACATCTTGGTTGTCTTGCCATTTTTGAGTTGGTTGTGATTGTATTGGTGGTAGTGATAGTAGTTTCATTGGCTGTAATGTTTGGTTCCGCTTTTATCTTATTAAAATCTCTTAAAAAAATGGTTTAATGTTTGGGTGTTAATTTCAATATAATGTCATTGGTGCAAATATAAAGGGCATAATGTGTATAACCTTATATTTCTACAAGAGGTCTACATTTTAGGTTTGAAGTTGTTGTTTTTTATTTTACAGGGGTTTTTCCAATCAACTTGATATATAATTTTTTGATGTGATAACTTAAAATGCTGGAAATATCATAGTTTACATTACAAGTGCAATTACAAATAATAGTTGTGATTTTTTTCAGTGATGACTTTGATAATTGTTTGTTCTTCTTTCTGCTCCAACAGCAACAACACCACCACTTTCTTGGATTTGAATCAGAACCAGAGTTATCAATTTGGTGTAATGTAAAACTTGTTTTTTGTCAGTTACAGGAGTAAAGTCCAAGGTAAATATTATCAGCAATTGTCATTGCTATTTTTTCAATTGGTTTTGGCTAGTCAGGAGATCCACCAGCTCAATCATCATAGCCAACCTTTTGATATATTTCTCTCTATCAGCAGCTATACTAGTATGAAGTCAAGAGGAGATATATTGTAATGACTTTTCAGCAAAATTAGAAACCAAGTGGTTATGTAAATCTTTACTGGAATTTTCTGCTGATGATGATAGAGCATTCCAGATACCAGCAACTTTAGTAACATTAAAGTCAACGGGGCAAAGAACTAAACACACACTATATGTTATTTTTAGTTGTTTCAAAACTGATGTAGGTAATCCACCTGGTTGGTTGTTGATTTGCAAACTAATTTCATATGGGCATAAAAAAAATTTTGTCAACAGCATTCCATTGCAATGCTACCCAATTCTTCCATATATCCAACAAAATGACAATTTGCAAGTAGCATTGATTTATGTGTGACATCACAAATTTGCTCCACAGCAAAAAATTTTTTTTCTTGCAAACCAGATATTCTTACAAGCCTTTGCATAACTGGATCTAATTATAAATAGTTGAAAATCCTTGTCCAAAGTTTTTATTGCTTCTTTTTTATTTTATTTAGAATTTGGTATGAACATTTTGAACTAGATTCCTAGGAATGTGTGGTGTGAACAGGATTGTTTTTTAAATAGGCAAATTGAGCACAACTTTTGCCCCTTTTCTTTAGTTTTTTGTGATTTGTTTTCTGCAATACATTCTATTTTTTTTTTAAAAAATTTTTGTCAACTTTTTTCTTCGGATCTTTTCTTTTTTTTGTTTTTGTGAATTAACAACAGCCAAATGGCCACTCTTTCCATTTTATTAAATAAAATAAATAAATGTCTTACTAATAATACTATTGTAATTAAAATTAAATTCTATTATAGCTATTAAATTTTTAAACAATAAATCCAAAATATCTAAACAAATTGAGAGTATATTGAATGTTATACAAGTAATTATTCATAGTATTTTGATCAAGTCAAAATAAAAAATAGTGGTAATTATAAGAAAAATTATTAATGTAAAGCTCAGAATGATCCAGGTTCGTTTTGGTTTCGGGTTGTTGGTTGGGGACCGAACCGAAATCTGAATACTTTTGTGCTGTACCAATTATACTTGAGTCAAAATTCGTGGCGTAAACATGTTTCATGATAATTTCAGAATTTATTAGCTAACAAACCCTTTTTGGCTATGAAACATTGATGTTACATTAAAAATTAAAAAAATTAGTTTTCATGTAATAAATAAAGAATTTTAATTAATTCATACATACATCACGAATTGTGTCTTGCGTAACGATTTAGGCTCCTAAATTAGTGACGAAACTTAAAAAGTTTTATATTGTGATAAAATGGGTTTATCGAAGTACCGTCCAATCGTATGTCGGACATGTGACCTATATAGTTCTTTTTATATTCGCATTTTTATTATTTTACATTTAATATTTTTATTGACCATATGTATCCTTACTATAAACCATTAAATTGTCATCCAATCCAATCGGCATAGTAAAAAATTTTTAATTAATTTGGATTGACTTATTGGACTGGAAAGTTTGGCGTGACAACTTTAATTTTAGAAAAAGATTGGGATTGGCGAATTGATCATGAAAAAATCCCATTCTAAAAATTATGCTGCTCCAGAAATACAATACAAAATAACAAATCTTTTATAGGAGACTCTGAAAGCCAGGTTCAATAGAATGCGGTGGATGGGAATGCTGAATTAGAAGGTTAAGAACTAAATGGATTAGCAGGTTCAATAGGGTCAACTGAAAGAATCAAAAGGACAAATTAATTTTGACAAATATCTAAAATATAAATTCCTTTATATACAAATTTTATGATCCAAATTTGATTAAGACGTCTAGTATTCCTTACATTATATCATTTTAAGATTAAAACACCCATCTATGAATATAACGTATTTTTTTTCCGAAATTTTCACACTGACCCAAAGTAATTTTTTTTTTTTTTTTAAACAATGAAACCCTCACCCTAATATCCCAAATAACAAATTTAATAATAATAATGTCAACTTTTAATAACTTTCTTTTTTAGGAATTTATGATATCTTTTTAAATAAGCACCATAAGTACTGCCTCTAATTGTAAATACTTCAAAGCCATTAGCGGCTACCATAAGATCAGTTAAAGGTATTAAAAAGCGACTCATTACTTTATTATCTACAGGGTTTATGAGAGATCCATAAGGTTCAAGTTGATCTCTGAAATCAGAGAGCATTCTTAGACAAGGAAATTTATCCAGAATCACTTTCATGGATTCGTTTTCTCTACCAACATCACTAGCTACATATAAATTTCTCTTTGTGATTTCACCCTTGTCAATAGGTGGACATTCATTCTTCAGTGATGTTAAATATGGTGGAATTTCTGGGTATTTTTTATCAATTTGCATAACTAAATCAGTAAAATGTTCTTTACTTTTTTTTGCATAAACGTTGTCACCACCTCTAGCATGAGCTGAAATATAATCACCAACACCACCCATTTTTTCTACCACACTAGACACCACACTTAAAATTACTGGATTATTTGGTACAAATGATTCTTGTAATTTTTTAAAGAAGATTTTTGATGATTCCAAACCTTTATGGATTCTTCCTGATCCAAATAAACTACCAAAGTATATAAGCTTTTCAGGACGTTTCTTGAATAGTTGTAATGATTCTAACAATCCATTAGTCTCGATGTGTGGTTTTTCTTCTGTGTCGTACATTCGATCATATTCATAGGTAAAATCGAAATAAATTTCTTTCCTTGGTTCAGTGATATTTAACATTTCAATAACTGTTTCAAGGTCGAAATTTGGTGCATTTATGGTTTTGAGGTTTTGTCTGATAAATGTAAAGTCAAATAGTTGATCATATGGATAAAGTGTGTATGAATTATGAAATGATTCGCATTTTTGTCTTTCTCTTTTTATTTTTATATTTCCACAAATTGAACCGACAGGTTCATCTCTTAGATATTTCGACAATTTAGTCATCCTACCAAATGATACTCTGAACTTAGTTAGAAGTAAGGCAGGTGGTACAATTAATGTCCTATTTAGGATCCAAGCAACAAATATAGCGTTTTCTAATCCTATCCTTTGATTATGAAGCCCACTATGAGGTATAAATGTTATATATTTTTCACTTTCATCACCATATATTTCATTTAAATTGTCGTCATTATAATTAGTTCCATTGATATTATCAACTGTTGTATTATTATTATAATTATCGATGTTGATGGAGTTCTCGTTGTTGGTTGTTGATGTTGATGTTAGCGTTGATGTTAACGTTGATGTTAATGGTGGTGATGATGGTGGTGGTGATGGTGGTGATGGTGGTGATGATGATGATGGTGATGATGATGATGATGATGACGATGATGACGATGATATGAATATATTTATTGCAATATAAAATGTAAAAATTATTAATAAAATATATTTTTTATTTATTTTTTTATTTTTATTAAGTGAATGGTTGCGGTTATATATGTTATATATGTTATCAAAGTCGGTGTTAATGTTAGTGTTAATATCACCATTGCAATCTTCTTCAGAATTTAATAATGGAGTTAACGAAGTCATTTTTTTTTCAAAAAAAAACGAACAAGTTTTTGGTTAATTTTTCTTGACGAAACGAAAAATTTAATTATTGTTCCAGACAAATATGCTTGTTTTTTTATGTTAAACCATTGAAACGTAGCCAACATTTTATTCCTTTACAGGAAAAGAATCGTTTCATATGGGCAAATTTTTGACAGCACGTCTTCTTTTCAGTGGAATTAACATAACAAAGAGGATCTCTAATAATTATATTTGGACTAGACCTGTTAGAAAAATTTCTTTGTGCGTATGAATCGTTTGTTAGATAATGATAAATGATTAACATGTCCAATAATAATAATAAGGGAAAATATTTCTTAGGTATCACTTAATATTAAGATTAATTTGCTAAATACGGTGCAGATCATCATCAAAATACTAAAAAAGTTTGATGAAGTTTTATTTGTTCGTTTTTTTTCTTAAAAATGTTTATTTCCTATTTTTTTATATGTTCGTTAAACTTTCAAAATATAGTAACACGAAAATTATTAGTCAAACTGAACTGCTATATATAAACCGATTTCCGCTTTATAACGATACAAAATTGGTTAACCGATCATATTTAATAAAAATCATTTCGTTAAGCCGAATTTTATTATAATTTCTACTTTACTTGATAAACCGAACTCAATGGTTTGTACAAAATAATAAAAATGCAACTTTATAAGCCGAATATGATCATAAACTGGTTTTAAAATTCGTATTATAATGATAAAATTCTGCTTAAATTAATGTCAATAAAAAAGCACGAAAATTAGAATTTTTGAATAATATTGAAGTTGATAATGTTGAAATTGAAGTTGAAGTTGATACTAAGCGAGAAAATTGTGAAGTTCAAGATTTAATTAACTAACTCCCATTTGATGATTCATTTTAGCGTACGAGTATTTAAATATTGAGAATAACATGGTTGCAGGTGAATTAGTAATGGAAGATGTGTATATTATTGTATTAATTCAACCAACAGAAATAGATGAGCAACAAGATGAAACCTTTATTCCAAAATTTTCTATTACAGATACCATATGGAATTTATTAAATTTTTTAGTATACCCTCTAAGTGGTTTCGATGTATGCGAAGATGAATTAAAGTGCATTCGTGCTCTTGGAAAAAAATTATTAAGATTAATAGTTCAGCGCAACAATTTTTTAGATAAATATATTTTTTTAGAATAATTTGTAAAATTTATATTTTATAACGAATTGTATCATAAACCGAATTTTGATAATCCGATCCTATTTTTGTGATTCCCAAAAGTTCGGTTTATCGAGGTTTGACTGTATATGCATTTCTGAAAAACAAAATTTTTCGATCCCTTCTTTAAAGCTGAATTGAATGGTGGCGGTTTTTTAAAAATCCAACATGTGGATCACATGATATTTCAAAACTTTAAAGCCGGGAAATATTTTTTATATTAGTTTTTCAATATAAAAATAACATTCTGCAGTAAGTTTTAATTGAACTGTCAACTATAAACCATTTATTATTTATTTTATTGATTTCCTGTGATCCATAAATTACTTTTTACCAGTGTTGGCAATGACAGTTATTTAACTTTGAATCATCAGTTAAATAACCGGTTCAAAAGTTAAAATAACTGTCATTGCCAACACTGCATACGGTCTAACATAAGTTGTTTTGTATTATCTTATTTTAAACTATTAATATTGATAGCTAATTGTAAAAATTACCTGGTGGATTTTTTAAATATTGAATCACTTTTTCTAAACTATTCCACTTCTTCCTCTTTATCAGAATCATCAACCTCAGGATTTGGCTCCATTGCTCTAATAATCTCTTGACATCAGTAAAAAAAAAAAAAGAGGATAATGTACAAACATTAATTTTATTGTTAAAAAAAGAATAAATAGAATATTGCCGCCATCAAAAAAAGGATAATGCACAAACCAATTTATTGTTAACACATTACCATTTAGAGAACACATTAACATTAACCATTAATGTAAAAGATTGCATATAACAAATAGTGAGTGACCCTGCTAATATCTTCAATATATTTCTCTATTATTTCCCGTTCACATTTTCCAGCAGAAGCCTTCCTCCTATCTGAGTCAGGTACATATAACTTTTTTATCCTGATTGCATTTCTTGGTGGATGCCCATTTAGCTGTTATTCTCTATATTACCAATTCAGGCATGCTATTCAATATTTCAATGAGTCCCTCCTTCCTAGCTAGCTTTTACGATTAACTTCTGGTCTTACTTAGGGTTTTGCCTAACACCTCTTTTAAAATAGAATAAAAGAAAAGAAATAAAAATAAAAGAAATAAATATATACAAATATATTTAGCAAAGGCATCCACCTGGTAAGATAGTAAAAATATCATTATAAAAATATAAAATTTGAGGACAATGATGAGGACAAGGACAGTTTTTATTTTATTATTATTAGATATATGAATGATTGTTAATATGAATGACCATACATGAAGTTAAGAAAATTATAACATTATTTATACATGTTAAAGGTTCATCTAGTTCCCTGATTTTTGGAACTCTTAATCTGTTCTAATTAAATGTATTCCTTAAAATAATTTAAACCTTTCTTTTAAAGTGAATGAATGATTTGAATTCAGAATCAAAGAAATGGAATGTTAGAATAATCTTTATTGTGAGTTAATTATGTTATTGGTTCATTATGTTGATTGAGCAACACTTTGTTATATGAATGGGACCAGGAAAAGATCATGCAGTGCAGAACATAAGGGGAGAGCACTTATCTCTAAGTCCTAAGCTTGGGACTTGGACACAGGGAACACTTATAGAGGGTCTGCTGTAGTATTAGTCAATAAAAATCAGATATATAAAGTTAAATTTTGCTTCCTTATTAACTACAAAATAACATTGCTTTAAAATAAATTCTTTTTACTTCTTATTAATTAATTACAAAATGATTTTAGAAACTATATGCAATCTTCTTCTGTAAACTGTAACTCATCATCACAACCAATTTCTTCTACAATTGTAAGAAGATATGAGGCATTCTGGGATGAATTCATCAAAGGACTCACAAACTGGTGTTAGCTACCCTTGAAAAATAATGGTGAATCATTGTGATCAAGTCAATTGGATAACCCTTTAAAAGATCTCCTGCTCTTGGGTCATGAATTACAGCTGGCTAAACTAAACCAACACCCTAGATATTTAAATAATCTTCCTCTTTTACCAATGGAATATGGCATAGTTTTAAAGAAGATGTAATTTATTTTTCTATAAATGAGAATTTAACACCATAATCATCTCTTGTGAATGTAGATCCAATTTTATCATCTTCTGAAAAATGAAAGCACTTAAAATCAGACTTTATCTCGATCCCAGAGGATAAACAAAAAATATTAAAATGGGTCAGTGCTGCACGTTGTACATACAATCAATGCTTGGCTGCAATCAATTCAAACAGGAAAAAGAAATCTAAAGCATGTTTACAAATTATATCATTGGATCAGAAAGATTTACATCAATACTAACATCAAATAGGCTCTTGATACTCTTCATTGGAACTTTTGAACAATTATAAATCAAGCTCCAAAAAAAGAAAAAATTCAAATTGAAATTTAGATCTAAAAAAGACAAAATGCAGTCAATTGTTATTCCATTAAGATAATAACAAATTAATTTTTATTCATCAATGGTGTTAGATCAAATGAGGAAATATAAGCCACCTTACTGAAATTAAGGCTGATAACCAAGCTCTTAAATTTTCAGCTGTAGAATGGGATTCTATTCATGGTAAAGCTAATAAGCGTAAATGTTATAAGCTCTGTCAATGCATGCTTCGAATCCACAGAAAAATCTGTAATCTTATCGATGAATTCCAGCAAAATGGTTATGTGAGAACCATGTAGTTTTACTCCCTGAGTTTAAAACACAAAACATGGTTAAAAATGATGGTAGTTTTGGAAAATCCAAACAAATTATGACCTGGTCACATTACCGATTTAAAAACATTTGATTCATAAGCCGTATGAGTATCCTTGGTGCAAGGTGGTCGGTCATCTGCACTAAGGAGCATACTATTAGAATTTGTGGATGTTAGCTTTGGCGGCCAAAAGACTTTTAAATGTACATCTATCATTGACAGAGATGTAAATGGAGCCAGTGATATACTTTTAAAATGTGTTGTGAGAATCTAATAGTAAGCAATTTTATTAATTAGTTAGTTTAATGATTTTTTGAGAAAATTTATTTACTCTTGATGGT